CCTCACAGAGTTAAAAGAAAGGAGAGGAAAAGGAAAGGGGCATTTGGAGATCAGGATTTTGGGATCGGAGAGCTAGCTTCAAGCTCCTTCGAAAGGTGTAGAATTGGGTTTCATAGGATTTCAGAGGACTTTGCAATAATTGTTCAAAGTCAGTGTTTGTATTGGTGAATTGGATTTTTGCAATAAAGTAAAGGCTAGTAGTTTTGACTATTTTGCAAAATTGGAGAGACATATGTGGTTGAAATTTTAGAGATATCTAGATGGTTGAGTATACTAAGTGCATGCAAAAATTTGTGTTAATCTTACGGTACAGATAGAGGATATTTGAACATTAGTATAAAGAGCTATCAGAAGTTGGCATATTGAAGTTGTTTAGGGTTTTTATAATATCTGAGATCTACTGACTGGAATAAGGTGAATTTTAACACGATAAGTTGAGGACTTAAAAGCGGAGCTGCACACAAATTTTGAATGAGAATTAACGGTCAGAGAAGGAGAAATTATAAATTAAAGTTCGTCATCAACCTTCTAGGCAGCGATCAATGGACTTCAGCGTGGATTTACGGTGTTTTCTTGCAATCTGTAAGTTGGATTGGATTGAACTTCTTGAGCATTTAGAAGTCTTGTAAAGACACTAGTGGTAGAAGTCTCACAACAATCGGACGGTGAGATTAAAAATTACAGCTTGCCGAAGCTCGCTGTCTAGGATTAGGATTTAAAATAAATAAATAAAATAAATAAATAAAAATAAATAAATAAATAAATATAAAATAAAAATAAAAATAATAAATAATAAAAGAATCTGTGCTTATAATATCCAGAAGCTATTAAAAATAGTGTTCTAAGTACTTTGTATTGGGATTAAGCTTTTACATTGAAATCCGAAATAGTTTGTGTTTAGATAGTTGAAACCCACTAGATTACTTGGATACTTACAAAACATTATTTTATCTTACACAACCAGACACCCGATAGCATGTAATACGATATCGTAATCTTGTAATTAACCACTTTTAATGACTAAGTTAATTATTTGTCCTCCTGAACTGACTATTCTATGGACTATTAGTCTATTTTATCAATATCTTATAAAAACAAACTAATATCTATTCTACAAGAATCTTAAGTGCATAGGTAATATATTCTTTCAATAGATTTTTATTAAATATTTTTTTTATTTTATGTATTAGTTTTATGTATTAAAAAAATAGTAAGGTAAATAATCTTATATATATATATATATATATATATATATATAACTTAATTTTATCACATAATTTTTTCATGCCTATTAAAAAATCTTATAAATTTATTAAAATAATATTTTATAAATAAAATTTCAAATATATGTAATTGAAAGGTTTATTTTTTATAAATAAATTATATACTATGTATATTTTTTATTTTATAGATAATAATTTTATATTTAAAAAATAATAATTAATAATTAAAAAATTCATTAATAATATAAGATGACAAAAATTAAGGACATAAAATCTAATTATATACATATAATCAATTGTATAGATCAAAGCTTTACTTCCAACCAAAATATTAACTTCTATTGTTTTTTGTTAAAAAGAAAGAAAGATTCATTTTGTTATTTTTATCACATTCATGACATTACTGCTTATCCCAGGAACCAAATAATAAAATAACCTTTGACCACTCAAAAATAGATTAAAAATAATTCCTTATCAGAGCTAAGCTGATGCCAAAAATCTAAAATATATTCACATATGGCCAAAAATAACTTTTTAAAACACAAAGACATAACAGACTCAACCATGTCGCTATCTTTATAAATTCAAACATTTTAATCTCACCAAGATAATGAAACTAAGTTGAAATATATTATATTCTCTCAACATCCTCCATGTTTTTTTTAAAAAGGCATATGTTTCCAGAATTCTTGGAAAAAATTATGTTCTTTCAAGTACTGTCAAAAAAATTAATCTTATTTATTTCACAAAACTCCTGCTCAAATTATACTGAAATCCTGTTTTATGTATGTTTGTGTAAATGTACATATATGGTTACAAATTTAAATTTATTTACACCTTGCACTTAGTTCACATATATATATATATATATATATGTATTTACACACATATACACTCCTTCTCACTTGCTCTCTCTTATCCTATTACATATTTTTATTATATACAATGAAAAACTGATATTTACTAGTAATCTTAATATTCACAAATTAGATCAAATTTCAAATAAAGGTTTTGTAGAGAATCTTTATATGAATCAAGCATCTATATTGTGGAATGTCTAACAACAATTACATTTTCTGTCATACCTTTTATTTGGTTTGTATCACAATAAAATGATATGCTATTACAATAGATTATCAATGATTTTAAAGGAATATGCTAATTGTTCACTATATCATTTACAATCATGAAAAATCTTAAATGTAGGACAAACAATCAATCAAAACTTTCAGAGTTGGTGATTAGATGGTAAAATTTTATATTGTGATCATGAGTTATTTTTTGAACCAATAAATTACTGGTACCATATAATAAATCATTTTAATCGATAAGCTTTTCACATTTAAGAATTCAACTTCAGTACATCACATCAAAATTAATTGTAAAATATTTTATTTCTTAGTTGGACAATATCTTTTAATAAAACTACCTCAAATTCTGAAGTTGATGTAGACTTCAATGAGAGAAAAATGTCATTTATGTATTTTTTGGTGTGCTTGATCTGAAATGAATGAATATTTATATATATATATATATACACATATCTAAAGAGGGACGCACACATCTTCACTATTTGTCAAGTTGTCAATGTTGAAGACATACATCTAAACTTGAGATCAATGACCCTGGTTCTTTAAGAAACATCTAACTTGGTTATTTACATTCTTTAAGTTCTTGACCTTAATACAAGATTAAACATATACCATACTTATTCTATTACAATATTTGAAGCTTATAATGGAATTATATTTTTATTTATACATATAAAGAAAAAGATATTTTAATTAATTAATTAATTAATTAATTATATTAATCTATGCATATGTTGCCTTTGTATTCATATGTAGATATAAATAGCATGTGGATGATCTTTTGTATTATAAAAAAATATTTTTAAAGCTCAAAAAAAATAAAAGAAGCAAACATTGTTTAAAATATTATAAAATTTGAACTTTTGTTGCAACCAAACTACAAATAATAGAAGTATAGTAGGTCACAAGAAAAGTAATAAATTATTTTTTAAAAACTACTAAGACACATCCAATTCTGTATAACATCATCTAAATTGATTTTAGTTCAAAAATATAATATAGCTTTAGATCATGTGCATACATGTGCATACATGTTTTAATTATTGAATGCTTTCATGTATAAACATGTTTATAAAGGATCCAAAAACAGGTAGATAGCGTAACAAACATTCATATCCTTATAATGCAAATATTATTTAAGCAAAACAATTCAGTTCTTTCACTCAAATCTTTGGGACACAATCATTAAATCTGCAATTTGTATTTAGAACTGAATTGCATCAAAACAACAAGACCAAATCCACAATGTTCTTTTGGACTCTGGTCTCTACTTCATCAAGGTTATGCCTACTACATTTTAGAGAGTATTAGACATTGAAATGATGTATTGCCTGGCAACTAAGAATGATGCGTTCATACAGCTTCACCAACTCAGGATAACAATCACCTAAGAAACTGATTTACTTTGATGAAACATGAGAATCACCTAAGACATCATGACATTGTTGAGAGAAAATGAGAAGCATATTTTATGGAGTAGAGACTTCTTAGCATTTGCAAATTAATTTCTGCCAGTATCAGTAGGCACGCTGATTGTTAACCTTTGAAGCGGCTAACATAATTATGTGCTCTTCGTGCAAATGTTTCCTTTCTTTGGGTGCACAGCCGTTACATCTCAAGTAGGTAAGAGCATCCCTTCTCTGATAGTGATGAAGTTGGAATTTATTATTCACCTAGCTTGTTTTCAACTTGGAAGTAGTTGTTTGTAATCTATTTTTTTCTTTACAAACAACTACTTCGTAAACTTGGAAGTAGTTGTTTGTAATCTCTTCAACAGTGTGTAAATAAAATTTTCAAGTATCAAATGGAAAGAATCAACATTGAATTTCATGCGAATTCATTATAATACATGCTTGTGGAGGTAATGTATGATCTCATGATCTCATAATTTCCACTTAATTCAAGCATAATCGGATTGTACATCAAATTCATATTGTATGTTCAATACTACCTTTAAAAGTGTACAACAAAGAATTACACCAATATACTAGAAAATTGTGCCTAACGAATTTAATAGACCATGAGTGAAAACTCTTCAACGAGTGGGTTTAGCCTCCAGGCATTGATCGGAACACCCGGTAACGAGAGCGCGACACAGAACGAACGAAAAGAAATAACAAGCGTTTTATTATCCAATGACGACGAACGACCTAGACACGCAACGTCGGTGGACGACGATCGTCCGCCTTAGCCACGCTCTTCGTTGTTCAGATCCCCGACGCCACGTCATTCCCAAACTCCCGCGTTTCTTACGGACATTTCCCGCGCTCCACGGATTTTGGCGGTTGTCATTACCTGACCAGCGTCGAGGAATTTATTTGAGGCTTTGCGATGCTGGAAACAGTGTGTGTGTCTCAAGCAATGTTAGAATTGGAGGATTATGTCGTTGCCGATTGATTGTGGCCAGAAGTGAGTCCCCGAGCGATCAGTGCAATATTTGCGTTGATAAGCATGAAGGCGTTTCCCGGAGCGAAGGTGTTCATGCCAGATTTGGATGACGGGGTTATGGGCGTGGCCATGGATGTAGACGTGGACGGAGATGCGCTGGAGTTGTTAGGCGACGCGGCGGTCGACCACAAGCTCTTCGATGCCGATTTCTTCAACGACTTCGAGGACGATTTCGATGACACTGATTTGGCCTAAGCCCAAGGAGTGTAATTTTATACGACAAAGGGTCTGTTGCTGACTATCTAGGTTGTTCTACGTCAAATCTGGGAGGTTTCTGTGGAGACAGTTTCAGTTTTTCGTGAAGGGTTTGTGGATTTTGGTTGCGATGCCTGTGGTCAAGGAGCCGTGTAAACAGCAGGCATGCGATATTCAATCGTGCTTAACAAAAAACGCCTTCAATCCTGAAAGGTATGTTCCTGCCGTGTGGAATTAGGTTTTGGGGTGTAGTGAATTTCGTCTGAGATTTTCTTTTTGTACAGTTTTTCGAAGTTTTGCCGTTTTCGCCTATTGTACAGATAGAACCATCGTGATGACGTTCCATTTGATCACGAGCACACCTTATTTCTAGCGTCTGTAGAGATCGCTTGAAGGATTCTGTATCCTGGTCATCATTGGGGCGGGGGGGATATGCCCTGCTAATTTGCAGTATCTTGGGTATAATTGAACTTTTTGTTAGAATGCGTGCGTCTCGTCATGGGTGTGATGTGGCGGTTCCACTGATATTGTCACTTGATGGAGTTTCGCGCATCAACTACAGTAGTTTCGACCTAATTTTTGAACATCATCGTTTCAGTGGAGATTTTGAGGATGATTTATCTATGGAGTCTGGGTTTAAGGAGATCAATCAAGTTACAAATCCTTGGTAGTAGTATTTATCATCTCGGTATTAGTTTTGGAGCTGGAAGTTGTACTTCTCAGCAAAATCTCAAATATATTTGAAGTGTCATCTTTGAGCATATGTTGAGATTCCTCTTCATCTACAGATTTTGAACAACGTTTAATTCTTTGAATGAACGTTCGTGTCTACAAACTTCCATGCTACTCTCCCGTGGTTCATTTCCTGTACCGAAAGTTATGTGAACGGATTCAAAATCTAGCGGTGACTTGGTCAAGTATTTAACTGTGCGGAACCCTAGCCATCCAAAGATGAATTTTGTGGTAGGAGTGATCCAATTCTCACCCCAAACTTTCAGAATCTGGTCATAACTGTTAGTTAGGTTGTAATGACTTAGTTTATAACTACTGATGATGTCCCAGAAATACTTTCCTTGTTCTGCCATAATCATCAAAGATCATCAAAGATCTAATGATTGGTCTGGAGGCCCTGGAACGGGGATTTATCTACGTAGGTGGCATTTTATGGAAAGTTTCTCTGGTCTGAGCTATTGTCTGCACAGCGTGACACTTAATTGTTGTGAAACAGACGAAGAGTTGTCGGTTTCTGTATGTATGTGTATTCACGCACTCTTGATCGTTTTTAACTTAAGTCTGACACTGAACTTCTCTTTCGTATGTATGCAGGTGCCTTCAAGCAATTTTGAATCTGCAGAAATGCTGTGATGCCTGTGACAACAAGTCGACGCACTGTGCCTCAGTGAAACCGCTGTTGCAACAGATCACCAAGAAGGCGAAAGTTTCATAGGTCGAAAGTTTAGAGGTTTTACTGCGAAAGACAATTCGTCGTGTCCTATTCTATCATGTCATATGTTTATGACTCCAGATTTGAATGCATTGGAGTAATGTTCACACAATGTAACGAGACCTTCATGTTATAATACTGCACAATGTCAATATGGTGGTTTCTGCATAAGACTCTCTTCCGCTTTTTATTTGTCCTCCAGTTTGATTGTCCGGTCATCTTACAGAACCACAGATTGTGATACATCTTTATTAATCCGTGCAAGGCGTAGTTTTCTGACTTCTTCGGTGTGCCTGCACTTTCACCACTCTCTACGGAGAAAGTAATTGACAAGCACAGGCCTTGACTTCTACTCAGCGTTTCTTTGCATCGAACTGGATTCATGCAGTGTATTTTGACATATAGCTTTACTGGGTAGCTCTTTCAATCCCTACGTCAACTCGTGGGTCTATGTTATACCTTCAACTTCGGTTATCTTGATGCGATGTTTCAATCCTCTGGCTGCACTGATGGCCTCACATTACGTCTTGGGTAGTGATAGAACTGTTCCAAATTCATTGAGTTGGTGCATCATTAGTTAGCAGTGTCATGTAACATATACTGGCCATTTTTTCATCTAGTACCAAGCATATCAGAAGATGCTCTCGTCTTTCGCTTGCAAAATACGCTGTTGCTGCCCACAAATTATCTTACGCGTACCTTGTACCTGTTACAACCATAGTATCGACGGTATTTGTCGCACTAATATATTCCTGAATGGATGCAATTGCATGTACTACGACATTACGGACTGGGATGAAGATATGTACCACAAACCACCCTTCATTAATGAAACCTATGTAATTAATGTTAAGCAGCCCGAGTTAGTAGAGATGTTGGAGAAGCTCAATGCCGTCGAGTTGCTGGAAAAGAATTGAAAGGCGGGTTTTTTATAGATGCAAATCTAATCCCTCCCGCCTCCAGGATTTCTTGCTACTTTAGTAAAATAAAGTGTTTTTCGGCGGTGCTGCATGAATGGAGACTACAGGCTGAGGGAGTGTCTCTGGAACAGTCGCAACTCCGACCCGGTTCTCATTGATGACGCTCAATCTTCGTGACGCCTTCCATCTACTGTTGTCAGATGGATGTCGGAAGTATTTATGTTCGCGTCGACTGACATGGGAGTTCGCAGCAAACTGGTACGCATCGACTCAAAAGTTGACTTTTCATGCCCTGAACTTGTAGAGGTGGGAGTTAGCAGTTATATCTCGTGAGAGGCTGGCCAGTTCTGCATAAACTATGGAGGTTGCAGTCTTCTACGTGATTCTACCAGCGCCAGTGCTTATGAGCTTCTAAATTCTGTGTGTCATGAAGCGAGAGTGATGCTTCCAAGGTCGCCTTTCTGACGAGATCCCGCAGTTTTTGTGGACGGAAAAAAAACGATTTGGAAGGTCGAAGTAGGTTCCTTGGGTTCAATGAGGTGGTAGTGAGCGGCCAAAGTTTCGCTGAAGGCTGGGGGCTGCGCCAGCTCCTCGGAATGACTTACGTTTGCGATTATCTCACCTCAAGAACAATGTGTATCTGCATTGCAGTTGTTTACGAGTTACAGGTTTGTAATAGATTATGTTTACAATTAAAATTCAAACGCTCTATGGTTGATTCTTGTGAAATCTGACAGCCAACACTTTGCTCACGAGTTTATATATTGGTGACCAGTTGGAGTAGCAATTGGTTGTCCATGACTGCAGTCGACATTATCTACCTGCAGGTTTTCATGTCTTTTAAAATATTCTCCCAGGTCGCTGGAGGATTATGGCCTAGTTGCGAAATGCTTGACCAGTGACTGGAGTGCAACGTTCTCTAGTGAATTGATGAGTGTCAGCACCCACAGACGACGTCACGGATTGTCTTAGACCTCTTTTCGACAGCTGGTATGTGCTTGATTCGTTCCTTCTCTATTCTAACTTTCTGGAATTGCTGCCGTTGCTTCCAGTCTTGCGCACTGAGAATTGTCCTCTCGAACATTTGCCGTGCTTGAAAAATTGCTATTCGGTTTTATGATTACTGTCATTAGTGGCTCGTGTGGGTTCAAGTCTACACTACAGGCTTATGATTCAGAATGATAAGCACGACAAAAGCTTCTGCTAATTGAATTCGTGTTCAGAAATTTGGTCGTCGGTAGTTTTTGAGGAACATTGCTTCTAGAGCAATCCAATCATGTTTCTGTGTTTTTGAGCAGGTGGAAATCGAATTGATGCCCGTTGCTATGGATACAAAGAAATCTCTGGTACTGTTGCATGTCCTGCTCCTGGCATGGTCGGCAGCACCTGTGCGAAGCGCACCAATGGGACCCATCAAAACAATAGTGTTACTTGTCATGGAGAATCGCTCATTTGATCATTTCATGGGTCTTATGAAGAAGATAAATCCTGAAATTGATGGACTTACTGGAACGGAAGATAACCCCATCACTCCCGGGGACCCAAAAGCTCCTCGAATCAAAGTTTCGGACATGGCTGAGTTCGTCGATCCCGATCCTGGACACGAATTTGAGCAGATTGCGGAGCAGATTTACGGATCCATGGAGAGAGTGAATTTAACGACGGCAACCATGGACGGTTTCGTGGCGCAAGCCGAGAGCGTAATGCCAGGCTTATCGAAGCGGGTGATGAGTGCCTTCCGACCCGAAGTCGTGCCTGTGACCACCGCACTAGCCATGAACTTTGCTGTTTTCGACAGATGGTTCTCGTCAGTGCCGAGCTCCACCCAGCCCAATCGGCTCTTCGTGCATTCGACGACCTCAAACGGCCTTTTATCGAACAACGAGGTCATTCTTTTGAAGGGCATGCCGCAGAGGACTATCTACGAGGACGTCGACGACGCGGGTCTGTCTTTCGGCGTGTATTACCAACAGATCCCCGCCACGCTATTCTTCCGCAACATGAGGAAGCTGAAGTACGTGAAAAATTTCAACACTTACGATCGCTTCAAGTCTGACGCCAAGTCTGGGAAGCTCCCAAACCTTGTGGTGGTTGAGCAGCGCTACTTCGACGTCGCTGGCACGCCCGCGAACGACGACCATCCCACGCACGACATCTCCCAAGGCCAGAAGCTCATTAAGGAAGTATACGAGACCCTGAGAGTCAGTCCCCAATGGAACCAAATACTGTTTCTGATCACGTATGACGAGCACGGCGGATTCTATGACCACGTTCCGCCGCCTGCCCATGGCGTTCCCAGCCCTGATGGCGTCAAAGGCCCCGCCCCTCACTACTTCAACTTCAACAGGTTGGGGGTTCGCGTGCCAACAATCGCCGTCTCCCCTTGGATAGAGAAAGGCACAGGTGAGGAATCCCTCAGCAGGCTCACAGTTTGAACTGGCTCCTTAGTCACGCGCTCTGGTAATCGTCCACAAATGCCTCGAGTGGCAGTTTTCGGGGCCGTTGCTCTTCGTTTTCCTGCTCTTCGTTTTCCTGCCCAAAGCCCTATATCTTTTGACTCTGTGAATTATGTTTTCGTGTATATGAATGTATGTTTATATATATATATATATATACATCTTAAAGAATCTACTCTCGAGCTTAAAATTGCCTACCTTCGGCTTGGTTTCGACCGCTTTCGGTTTGTGTGCAACGAATTACTGTGTTTGCATGTGGCAGTGGAGCATCGGCCTCAGGGCCCGACACTGACGTCAGAGTACGAGCATTCTTCCATCGCTGCCACGGTCCGGACACTGTTCAGTCTCCCGCAACCCCACCTCACAGCGCGCGAAGCGTGGGCTGGAAACTTTGCCCACATCATCTCTCGTACGACACCTCGCACCGATACGCCAGGTCTGCGACATCCTCCCCTAATCTAGTGATGGTTCCCTTTACGTTGCTATCCTGTAGACAGCACTTCAGCCATTTGAAAGCCGCCTCGACGTTTCCTTCACTACTTGTAAAACCCCATGCAAACCTACACCGATCCAACTCTCATCACATCCCTTTGTGCACATTCACACGCATTGATCTGACACGGGAGCTTCCATTTGGGCCGCAGTGACGCTGCCGAGTCCGCCGTGGTCGCTTCGACACTCCCATGCGAACGAATCCAGGGCCTTGTCGCTGTTCCAGGAGGAGCTTCTCCTTCTGGCCAAGTCGTTGCGGCGGAAGCTTGGCATGGGGGACACTGCCAATGAAAAATCGCAGGACCAAACATCAGCTCTGAACATCGGCGAGGCCAATTTCTACATCCAGGATGCGGTGAGCAGCTTCATGCGGCGAGGCAAGGCCCAGCTCCAGGCTGGCTTGGATCCCAACTCCCAAGTGCATCCTTGAGCCATTCTCTGCAACACCATCTCTACAACACTATCCGTGGGAAGTGCACATGAATTTGTGGCTGCCTCTTGTCTATCCTCTTCGAAATCACCGCATTCGCAAGCAGTTGTCAACATTCCAGGATCTTGTATGTGCTCATGAGTGAGCATGTATATGCACACCAATGGGTCTTTACTTTGCCGAGTCATGGGTTGAACCCAACACTTCTTTCCTTTTTTCTCATTTGAGGTACTTCTCTAAATGATTGGTGTAGGTTTAGTTTAGTGATTGTTGGTTTGGGTTGGACAAGTTCAAATCTTGAAAGCCCTCCAGCGTTGAACTTGTGCTCGGGTTTAAGAGTGAAGTTAAACGAGATTTATTCTGTGTTTCCCTCTTTTACACTTTTGATGGCTTTTGGGTGTTCTGCTTGAATTTTACTGTTTTTATTTGATTCATAAACAAAAGGAATGAAATATGTGTGAGATTCTTACATTGACCCAATTTTATGTTTTTTCTTTTTTATTAGGGTGTGTTTTGCATTCACTTGGAGTCGCAGGTAATTTTGAGCTAGGGGATAAGAAATCATGGCACAAGATGTCATATTATGAAACTACACTTAAAAATATAGTATTAATGTTTTTTTGGTACATGAATTTTTTTTAACAAGTACACTTAAATTATTGTATGAAAGAAATTTCTGAATTCACTTATGAACATTTTTAAAGTTTTTGGTTCAACAAATATTCATTGATTCTTTGATCTAACACTTGATCCTTAATAATTACAGTAGAACTAATTAAAATATATGTATATTCAGTCCAAATATCATATAAAAATGCATTCACTATTTTTGAAATTGATTTGAATATAAAATTGATTAATTGACCCATTATTTTAGAAAGAATAGATGACAACTTACAATCTACATATTTTTTGTTCTTCTTCAAAAATTAGATTGGTAAAATTAAATTATCATAAAATAGCCTTTTGTAATTTTTTTTGTATATATATATTTTAATTGATAGAAATAAAAATATTTTTTGAAGATATATATATATATATATATATATATATATATATATATATTTCAATGAATAAAAATTGATTCAATTTAATTAAAGACCATATGTCTTTAGATTATATAATTTTTAAAGTATTTTCTTTAATGTAGTTATAGCATTTAGAATTTTATAAAAGAATAATTTTTTTTAAATTTTTTTGTAGAATTTTACTCTTTTACAAATTCTTAGAACATGTAAGTTTTAAAAATCAATTTATAGTATGAGTAGGCTTTATAAATGAGCTTAGATATTGAGCTCATATAATAATAATAATTAGTAGTTGAAGTTTTAGAATGCAAAAGATAAAGGGATTTTATTTTGGATGTGGGAAGAGAATATTTAAGAAAATACTTGTTATTTGCATCTTCCATCTTTTTCATGTCTTGCATTACAAAATGAAAATAAATAAATAAATAAATAAATAAATAAATTATCATTGCCAAATTTGTGAACATTCTATCTTTTAGAGAAGTAAAATTAAGCAAAATCTTAGATTCTTTATAACCACAAAATTAGACTAAAGTCATGTTTATTTACTATGGTAATCAATTGAGATAAAAAAATAACTATTGAATAAAAAAAATATGTATTATTTTTGTTTAATAAAGATACTCATATGAAACAAAGATATGCATACTAGTTCTTTTGCCATAAATTGAACTTTCAATCCAATTCCAATTATTATTTCATAGATCACTATGATTTGGAGTTATAAGAATAAGATAGCTAAATCTTTATTCACATGTTATAATACTTTTACAAACTAGTTAGCTTTGAAATAACTCTCTATTTATTTATTTATTTATTTATAAAAATTTAATAATAATGTGGTAATTTAAGCTAACAATTGTCAAGTACAAAAGATAAGAAATTTTGCAAGTTAAATTAGAAATTATTAGTAAAACTTTAGCTAAGTAAAAATTAATTAAAAATTAAAATTTATCTAATTATATTTAAGATTAAATGTAGTAATATTATATGTAAATTGAATTTGAATAAAAGTCAAATATAAATAATAGTTTTATATCTAGAAATGAAAGAAATATAAGGTAAGACAAATATTTAGTAAAAAAATTAGAAATAAAGATATATATATATATATATATATATATATATTATAAAAATAATAGAAATAATAAAAATAGTAATTAAGCTCTATGAATACAATTCTCATGTAATGGATTATTTCTTGATATTTTTTAATGTTATATTGAGCTTGGCCACATGCCTTATATTGCCTTTGTTGTCTCTCTACAACTTTAAACAAAAAGAGATTTCTTTGAATAGAAGATTGTAATTAGTTGCAATTCAATGTACTAGGAAGACATCCCCTAGAATATTAGCAATTAGATTTATTTAGAGCACAATATTGCTAAGATGTCAATTTTAGTAAGATTGACTATGCTTTTGCTTATTGATCAAGATTCCATATAGGATATACATAATCCAATTAATTGAATAGTACATATATTATTAAAATATTTTGTTAAATAATGTTGTTCTGTTAAGAAGTGACATAATATATAAAAATAATATAAAATATTATAAAAATTTGATTTAAAATTTAAAAAATAAAAAAAGAAAAAAGAAAATAAAATAAAAAGATAAGAAAAAAGAATGGAGGGAATCAAAGAAATCAAGTGGTAAAAAAAATGATTGTGATTTTAACTACAATTTTTAGGTGGATTACATCTTATTACAACTAAGAAAACAGGAAGCCAATTGACTACATTATTTTCCTACTTACTATTCATATTAGCAATCCCAAGCCACACATTGCTTGTATTAATCAAAAAGTCTAATAGAAATCAAATCTAAACTAGCTTAAGTCACAAGAACTTAATCAACTAACCAAGTTTGTGACTTGGTGTCTATTACTATGTACATGAGGGTTTTACTTTCCTTATTTTAAATTTTATTAGACTTCAATCTTTCTTTTTATTTTTCTTTTTTACTTTTCATTTTTTTTTTAAAATTTACAAGTTTATTTCTAGATATTTTAAACCAAGAAATTTTATTTAAAAAGAAAAGAAAAGAAATTTTTAGATATTGATAATTTATTTCCAAAGGTAAGCCAAGATAAGTTGGTATGAGCTTAAGATGGAATGGTATGGTATTGAGGTAAAGATATAGGAGCTGAAGTGGAGTGACATAGGCTTGTATTGACTTTTGTACCTACTCCTTCACTTAGGCTTTCTAACTTTAAATATAGCTAACCACTCTTTCAAGGTTTTTTAATAGTGTGTTTAGAATTTAGATTTAAAATTTTAAAGAATTGTTTCTTTCTTTATAAGCTTTTCAAAAAGCTTTTATTTGTTCTAAGAAGAATTAATATGAATTTTTGGTGCCTTTTTGAATAAAAAAGAATTAATTGCCTTATATTAACATAATCTATGACTTTGTTTGCTTATAAAGTATGTTATAGAAAATTTTAGAAAGTGAGATTTGATATGTATATGTATACATTAAGTAGCTTTTCAAAGACCCATTACATGCTCAAATCTAACAAAGTATGAATCTATGGCACTTAGTTGAATGAAAAGAGATGTTAGCTGCTACAAACAACTAAGAGCTACTATATATAGTAACTTTGGTTACTCATAAAATTTTTTATATGATTTTTTAGACAATAAGCTTTGGTGCACATATACCATAGACAAGTAGCTTTCTAAAGTGATATCATATGCTATCATGTAGTAATATGGCCATTAGATGAACAAAGAAAGAAATTATTTTATTACAAAAGAGCCTAATTAAAAAGATATAATTAAAAAAACATAAATAAAAGATAGGCAAGTAATAAAATCTTGTAGTGTTAAAACTAATTTTATGAAAATGGACTCTTTTTACTTTGTATAGCCATAAATAAGACAAAAAATATTAGATGAAAAAAATAAAAGATGTAAATATATTCATAAAGGGATTAGAAATTTATTTTAGCAAAATTGAATTTAAAAAAATAATAATTAATATCCAAAGAGGACCAATTGTCAACCAAGGTTGAAATCAAATTCCAAGTATTTATACTATTTTTAGAATCTTTTGCAAATCAAAGAGTAGTGTTTGAAAGAAAAATTGAGAAGAGATTTTTGAGAGTTTGTTTTAGGTCGTTTGGATTAAAATTGAGGATTTGAGGGATATTTAAAGTTAGTAATTTACTTGGTAGGTTTATATTTTGAAAAATAAAAATATGTTTATAAATTTGAAGATTTTTTGAGTTTTGTAGTGTATTTATGGATGAAATTTTGGTAGTTTGTTATTGTGCTTGTTGTAAATATGTGTAAAAAATTTGAAGTCAATGAAGTGATTAAATTGATGTATACAAGGATTTTTGTAGGTTATAGTCTTAGATATTTGAGATTTAGGATCAATGATTGATTCTAAGATCTAAAAATATTTGCTATTTAGAATGAAGAAAAAATTGGTAAGAGCAATAAAGACTTGAATATCTATGCACAATCCAATTTTTGAAGCAATTGAACAATTTTTCAAGGAAAAATTGATATTGAAAGATTAATATATAAGTCGGAGAAGGAGAGCAGCCAATAACTAAGAATTTTGGAAACTTTTATTACAATTGATAAGTCTAATTTTTTTCAATTTTTATATATTTACTAATTTCTTTTTTATTGAAGTTAAAATAAAATTTTAGTTAAAATATATGATTCAATTAATATTTATTGAGATTTCAAATAGCTATAATAATTAATTAAAATTTATTTGAAATTTCTTTAAGATATAATTAGGATTTGATTATGATTTAGAATTTTATTAGGCTTTGATTAGGATTAGGATTTAAAATTTGATTAGAATTTGATTAGAATTTTATTAGGATTTAAGATTTTATTATAATTTGTTTAGGATTTGAAGTAGATTTTGTCTAGGATTAGGATTTAGGATTTGATTAAGATTTGATTGAAACTTAAGATTTTATTAGGATTTAATTATCATGGATTAGGATTTAAGATTTTCTTAGGATTTAATTAAGATTTATTTAGAATTTGATTAAGATTTTATTAAAATTTAGGATTGCATTAAGGCTTGGTTGAGATTGGTTTAGACTTTTATTAGGATTTTTTGAAGGTTACATCAGAATTTGATTAGGATTCAATAATAATTTCTATTTTTGATATTTTTTAAAGTTTTTTTATTATATATATTTTATTAAAGATTAATTTATGTTTTCTTTATGTTTTTTTTGTAAGTTCTTAAGACTTCTTTTGGATATAATTAAAGATTAATGAACATTGTTATAATTTAATTGAAATTTATTTAGGATTTCATTAGAGCTGTTAAGATCATCTTGTTGTAAGTTTTATTTTTCTTTCTACAACCAAG